TGAATTTCCTTCTTGGCATGCAGTATCTGACTTGCTTTTTTAAAGCCAACACTTGCCTGCTAAATAAAAGCATTTGAACATTTAGTAAATGAGAATGTGTGTGTGTGTGTGTGTGTGTGTGTGTGTGTGTGTGTGTGTGTGTGTGTGTAAAATCTCATCTTCCATAACTAAATCTCAGGTAGACAGGCCCTATATGAAATTGAGAAAGGAAGGTAGCAGGGTCAGGTAGTCATGTATATTTCATATTGGGTATCAAAATAAGATTCAAGGTGAACATATGTAAAGACTGAACTGCTGCATCTGTTGGAGGAAGCTTGACAGCGGCTGATGGTGGGCAGAGTAGAAAGAGGTCTGAGTTGAAGAGAAGAAAGGCTTACAGTGTTCCCTGTCTATGTATTATCCCTTCTACCCAGGTTAATGTTAGAGTCTGTAAATAGGCACAAGGGCTGAGTAAATGTCTACTTTCTGAAGTGTGAAGGGACCAAAAACAAAAACTGGTCGATTTTACTAATCTGATTATGGAGCCGGGCAAAAAAAAAAGTGCATACCTGTATTCTCAAACCTCAAGAGGCGGAGGAAGGAAGATACATGCTTGAGTCCAGCCTGTCTTGCATTTCAAAACCCCACCTCAATATCTGTAGAAACAAAACAAACAGAACGAACAACAGAAGAAAACCTAAGTGTATGGAACTCATCAGACTAATGGTTATCGTGTGAGAGATTAGCAGCTAAGCCATTCAAGTTATGAATTCCTCTGGCTCACCTTAGTTCAGATGCAAAAACACAGGATGATAGCACCATTAGGACCCCGAGTAGGTGACCCTTTCTCTGCTGTCTCACAGACCTGGGGAGTTGATGCTCTTGCTGATACTTGCAGATACTGTCACCTCTTCAGAAGAATCTGGCTAGAGCTACTTACTTCAATTTTTTTTTTTTTTGTACAAGCTTTCTCATTTGTGTTCTCAGAAAGACAAGGCATCCACAACGACTAAACAATAGATACCAAGTTTTTAAGGGTTTTTTCTAGTTTAAAAACAAAGTTACTGTAAAAAAAAAAAAATAGCTTAAGAGAAGTGTAGAGGCGAAGGCAGAGAGATGGCAAATTAGACAAATTAACTGAAGTAGAGTCCTTTATATTTTGTATTATTTCAGAGACATGTCTTAAGAGTGGTAACACATAAAAATGACATGACTTGTATTGGTATATGAAAAATGTCACCCACAATTTTTTTAAAGATGTTAATGGGAAAGAAGTTACTTTATTTTTGTTTGGAAAGAAACTGACACTCTATATCATGAGTTGACTTTGTGTGAAAAGGATATGAATGTGCTAGAAAAGCTTAAATCAGATTAAAAATATCACTAGGGGTAAATGACTGAATGGGTATAAACTTATCAACTATATAACGACTTTTCCTTTAATGTTTGTTTTTTTTTTTGCAGCACCTAAAACAGTGCAGAGCACATTAAATGTTCAAAGGAATGTTTATAAAATGCATGAGTGATGCCAAGACAGAAATGGTACTACTCCCTTCAGTTTGTGGGTATTTTATGGCATTGGCTTTTGTAGATTCTGACCACTCTTTAAAATTCCAAGATAAACATAGACTGAACAAAAATAATTCTGTTTATTGGAAAAGTAAGAAATTGCCAAATTATGGTTGGAGAACAAAATGATAGTCTGGAGAATTGGGTGTTTCCCCTCGTAATGGACCTATTCCTTGTATCTCAGTCCCTTAGAGAAAGTTCAGCTTCTCCTTTGGACAGCTTTCATTAGACTTTACAAAATATGAACAAAGTTTTAGCATTTATTCTTCATTGACTTCACTTTCTAATAATATTCTCTCACATGTTATAATTTCGAACTCTTCTTTTTCTAAGTGAAGATCTAACCTATGCATTGTGATTCTGACATAAGATGCTAACATGTGGAGTTACTATATGAGTTTATTTATTTCCTGTAGTTGTAACTATGCACCATTGACAGTTCTTGGTCACAAAAGTTTGCCTCACAATCATTAACATTTTTCACTAGTATTTATAGATTTCCAATGGCAAATTACATAGTATATAGTGTTTCTCAAATTTATTTTACTATGGATTTTCTTCCTGGAATTGTGTATAAGTATTTGTAAGTAATACAGTTTTAGATACACTAGAAAAGAAGAAATAAAATATTGGATATATGTATGCTTCTTGAATAGGGCCAATGTGGTGTTACCAATTAAGAAATGCTAAATCTAAGGAAGGAATTTTCCAAAGCAGTAGGCTCAAAGTGTAAAATAACAGAAGATATTTTCATTATTGTTTATCCCTTCTTCACTCTTTAAGTACATAGGTTCTCATTTACGTTCATGTTCTTCATGTCCACAACAAACATGGTACTATGTTTACATGATAAGGAGCTTTAGCAGGAGACCTGGCCTACTACTAAATTTTAGGCATGCTGCACGTCTTCTTGTAGAGGCTATCAGGACCAGAGAAGATTCCCTGAATACTTTCTTGAATCTTTTAAGTTTCCAGACAATCAACACATCACTTACACATATGAAATAAGATACAGCTGACAATAATATCACTTCTGTATAGGTAAATGTCAGTTAACATAAAAAATACAACAGCAACAAAGACAAATGATTATGTTTTCTTTTATATTAAAGAAATTATAATATTCTTATTCAGAAAATGAAGGAGAGATAATTAATGTTTTAAATACTACTTCCTTACTAAAGTCAAATTTATAAGAAAAGTTAATGAATGACTCATTCTTACAACAAAGATGTGTTGTTTGCTTACTGTTCACTCAATAGTCTAGAAATTATACTAAGCCCTATGGCTATGAAAAAAACCTTGTCTTAAGTGGCCATATGAAGTTACTATAAAATAAGATGAAGATTTACAGAGCATTAACAAGACAAGATGATGCTTACATATGAATATGTTAGTGAAAGGGTAGTGTTTGAAATAGACATGAATAAGTGGATAGATAGAGAGATATGGAAAAGTTAAATGTTCAATTGCGGGTACAACCTGTAAGTCATCCGAAGTGAGGGCTTAAGTGTTACCTGTACCTTTGCGGTACCCAGTGGTACTAACTAATGTTATTATTGCTATGACACTTTGGCAATGGGTCCTGAGTCTTTGAGAATGATGGAAATCAAGCAAATAAATATTAATTTTGGACACTGTGATAAGCAAGGTGAAATATCTCTTCCCTGTTACCTTTACTACTTTAGTATTCAACATAGACTATAATATGTAAGATGTATTCATTACATATTGAATGCTTAGATACATGCACTGAGGTACAGATGGATGATGGATAGATGGATGGATGGAAGAGTGCATGCATACATGAAGAGATAATATACTTGGTAGGACTGAGTGAAAAATTTCACAAGATATTTTTCATCTTTGGCTGGAGTCAATGCTTCAGAAATCGCAGTATGGGCATTATGGGGGTCATTCTAAGGTTTTATACATTGAAATAGGTTATTCATCACTGTCAAGCTTTGCTACCCATACAGTTAAATAGGTAATCTATAGGCAGTTCACATAACATTTAACTCCAAGCAAAGATCCACAGCAAACAAAATAAAATGCCTCTGGCTTAAAATGGTCGTCCCAGCCGGGCGGTGGTGGCATACACATGTAATCCCAGCTCTCGGGAGGCAGAGCCAGGTGGGTCTCCATGAGTTCAAGGCCAGCCTGATCGACAGAGCAAGATCCAGGACAACTGCAGTAGATACTAGAGAAACTAAAAAAAAAAAAAGTGAAAATGGCTACCCTAATGTCTATTCATAACAAACACATTTTTTGATAGATTCTCATTTTATATAGTCTGAATTTTAAAACTCAAAGTCTATAAAGTTGGCATTTTTAGAAGTAGAAGCCTCTGAAAGTTTTGTGAGTTTGGGAAGTATGTAAATTTCACAGAGATTAAAGGAAAGACAAAGGAGAAGGCTTGAGTCAGAAGAAATCATCCTTGAGATAAAGGATCAGTGTGCACAGCAAGATTCAGCAATGTACCTGTTGTAAATAATCCAATGTCTTTAGGTCTCAGTGAGATTTTCATGCCATGTTAGAGGTTTATTTCTTCTTTCCTTTCTGCTGCTGTGACAAGCAGCATGACCAAAACAACTTAAGGGAGTAAAGGCTTTATTTTATTTTACAACTCTTAGGTCACAATTCTTCATTGGGGGAAGTCAAGGCAGGAACTCAAGGTAGAAACTATGGAGGAGGGTTGCTAGTTAGGTCACTTTCAGGCTCACTCATAGGCTTATTCTTACTGAATTTCATATACAGAACCTTCCCATTGGGGCCTTTCTAACATCACTTGAGACAATCAAGACAATCCCTCAAGATATGTTCATAGACAAACCTATTAAAGACAATTACATATTAATCTTTTTTTTGTAGGCAAGTCTAGGCTATGTCAATTTGACAGTGCTAACCAGGACATGAAAACTGATGAGATAATGAATGAAATACAAATTGCTTGAAGTTCTTGTATTTGTAAGAATTCAACCAATGTAACACTGTTTGATGCAATGTGATACTTATTTTTATAAAACTATGTTGCTCATTTCATAACACCAGTAATAATGGAACAGGGGAAGGAGATAAATGTCAGAAGAAAAGTATAAAAGCATTTGGTGGTTAATTAATTTGTGTAATATCTGCTTGCACTACAGCTCTAAATAACAGTGTGTGTTGTGATGTGATCTACTTTATTTATTATAAATGAATCAATCTAAGATTATAGAACTTGAGCACCAATTTAGTCAAAGTATTTAGCAAAAATTTAGAGTAACATTAAGTTCAATGTAATGCTATGCTTTTGAAATATATTTGATAAACACGTATGAGCAACATATTATGCAAATCATGCATGCCATGGTTAAGTATTTATTGGAACCACAGATCAAGATACTTAAATGATAGCGATATGCCTTGACCAGCCAACTATATGAGTTTTTTCATTTTTATTTCCCTTCTAGGAATTTGCTGCATTGACTAAAGAACTGAATGCTTGCCGGGAGCAACTTCTAGAGAAGGAAGAAGAGATCTCAGAGCTTAAAGCCGAAAGAAACAACACAAGAGTAAGTATCAAGCTGATTTTTGAGCGTCTATAAATAGTCTACTGTCATGTATCTGTACACACATCTAAAAACTTGCAAAAACTTTAGGACTACTTTGAGCAGATTCCAATTCATAGTCAGTTGCTTTGAAAAGAAGGAAACATGGTATAATACCCAAAATAAAAAGAAAGGAAACCAAAATTATAGTCTCTGCTAAATCACTATGTTGCCCGGCAAAATGTCCCCATTTCTTCTGGCCTTTACTTCATTGTCTCTTAAAAAGAGCCTAAGTGATGGGCTGGTACATTGCAGTGGCCTGCATTTGATCCTCATTCTAGCAAAGAACTTATCTAAAAATAAAGGAAAAGAAATTGAAGTTGAAAAGCTGTGGATCAACCTCTACCAATTAAAAGAGGCTTACCACATTTATTTCATTAGATTTCCTAGAGGCTGATAGTTCTAATAGGCATTCTATTGTATGATAAAACACATACTTGCTACATTCTGCTCTTGGAAATTCCTGTACAGTGTCAGTCAGATGATGTGCCATGAAAGAATAAAGTTCAGAGTTAGATCAAAGAAGATGTATTTTTTGAAAACCAAGATAAAAATGTTACTAAATTTCATAGAATAAATACTGATTATATTACTTACAAATTAATGTAGTCTCATAGCTAAGTGAAAGGAGAAACGACTTTCATGAATGCAACTTTACTATTAAGAAGGTGAAATTATATTAAGTGTCATAGTCTTCCTGGGTTAATCCTCTGCAGATAAAATGTGATTAGTAGCCAACTTATTTTGTGCCTTGGCCTTTCAGTGTTATGCAAATTCAGCTCTCTAGTCATCACCTGTACCTCCCGTGAGAGTTAGACTTGCGTGCATGAGGGTTATACCATCAAACTCATTTCTGCCTTTATTCATCAGGTTCTGATTATATGATGAAAAGAATTCACAGGTGTGCATTGTGCATGTGAATTGGTTTTCATCAAGATTTTGATGAGCCGGTCACATTGATTGCCTCTATTAGGGCGTTGCAAGGGCAGTTTAGATCATGTGCTGGAAAATTCTGCATTCTTTCCCTGTCTATTTCTTTTTTCACTCTTGATTTTTCTAATAGTGCTGCATTTCCATGCAAATATACCTATTTCTGCCGTAGTCGTATTTGTTCTGTCCTGTCCTGTTATTTTGAAATTTAATAGGTTAGTTAACATTCTCTGATGTAACAGAGCACTGACAAATGTGAAAGTAGTAGAAGAAGCGTGAGAATTAAGGCAAAGGTATCTTTGGTTTCACTTTCGGAGATTCCTCACATTAAAAATGTATCAGCTCATTTTGTTACCTACGTATGTGCATTTATCTATGCCTTTTCATTCTACATTCATTTATTTCATTTTACAGTCATGGGAAGAATATACTTTGTTTGTTCCCACTGTAAAGACAAAGCAAGTCAAATGTATCAAAGGTTGCAGAGTAAAATACCACAGGGTTAGAAAGGTAATACACTGTATGCAGGGCCCGTGCCACTGGCACAGATCCACGAGGCCACTAGGAGAGATACCCACACAGACTTGCAAAAATCTATGATGGCTCAGATGAAACATTTGCCCAAGAGTCAATACCCTGCTGTGTGGCATATGTCATTTGTTTTAATTGTGACTGATTTTAGGATTGGGATTTGTTTTAATAGCCACATGATTTTCAACATATTAAACCCCCTGAGTGCACGAGCATATTTGGCATTTGACTGTTTACCTGCAAAGGATCACAGGGGTGTGAGGAGCTACCCTGGAACACCTTCTAAGATCAGAGAGAGAAGGAGGAAAAAAGCTTTTTTTCTGACTACAACAGAAAATGAAGCCGTTGATTAGAAGCAAGATTAATAGCTGTTAACACTTAGCAAATGTGATCAAAAAATTTTTTTTCTATTTTCCTTAAAAATTTAGCATGAAGAGATTTTGTTGTACATGAGATGAAAGCAAACAGATTTCTGAATCCTATGAAATATAAAATCTTGGTAATATAATGACTTTTTAGGTTACATAACCACTACAGACCTGCTTGATTTCATCAAAAACAAAAATAAAATTACAGGTCTAAGATTCAAACGTATCTTCCTCTTCCCATCAAAGGCCATATCAAATATACATTGATATAGTTACACATGACAGTATTTCAGATAGATTTATATAATAGTATTTTACTATATGCTGTGTTATAGTCTTGCTATGACTACACAGTAGCTACATGTTGCTATTGGAAAGAGCAGCAAGACAACACTAACTTCCTTCTCACAACTAGAGAGTACTGATTGTGAAAAGTTGTGAGTTTAACTAGAAAAGAGTGTTCTGATGTCTAGGGTTCTGATAAACCTTCAGACCTTTCCACATTAATAAGTTAACATTTACTTAGGAATTGAAAAAATAACACAAAAAGTCAATCCACAAAGTGAACTGTTAGAAAGGTTGGTGAACTTGGATTATGACCAAAACCAACAAATCAGAAAGTAATCAGCATCCTGATAGTACAGTGAATTATATCATTTACCACAGTTTCTGTGATAGACAGATTTATTATACAAGCTTGCAATAATGCAAACATAGTACTTAACATTAATTAAGGGCTGATGGTTTTTCTAAATGTTTACATGTTTACCAACCATACCATAGCCACACAGCAATTTCACCATCTCTAAAAGCCATATACCCCTGAGTGAAGTAATATGTACACAGTCTACTTCTTGAGTAATCATGGGTTCTATATTTTGGAAATTTTCATATTTTTATGTGACTCCAAATAATAGTTGGTGACAAATAGGGTTTGTTTCAAATGTTGTAATTCAATTCTAATGAATTTTATTGGTTGTACAGGAAATAGTGTTTTTATTCAGTCAGAACTGAAATCTTTGGTCATGAATAATTTTTGTCACAAAAGAAATGCCGAGTCCTCAGCCAAGTATTAAGTTAATGAAAGAATTCAAAGTTCAACTTGTTCTTAAAGCCATCTGCTCACTAAGTAATTAAATGGAGGTATACAAGTAAACTAATAGTATGCATAATTATGTAATGTTAAAAATTACAAAATTTATAGTGGACATTTATAGAAACATACAAACAAGCTTTGTTGCTTAATATTTCTATGCCCATAAGAAAACAGAAAAAATTAGACAACAACATTTTTATTCATAAAATTCCTCTGAAAATAAATAGGCACGTTATGTGTATATGTTGTGTGACACTGTTACTTGGGAAACCTGAACAAAGAGCTACTCACTCCAGATAGAGACTTGACAATAGACCAAATCACAAGTAACACCAAAGTCCAACTTGGGGGAACAATGAATTTTTTGAGGCTATTACAGAAAGAGGTAAAGAGTTACTGGAATAGAAATAGCTCAAAGGCAATTGCATCACCAAAAGCTCACCCCAACATGGGTGACATTTCACAAAAGCTGGAAACCTGGACCATATTACACAACTTATAGGCAGATCAACAGATTGGAGAATGTCTTTTCCTGGCAGCTTTGTTGATCTGAGTCTGGGGCAGATTGGCTGGTCTCAGTTTCTTTGGCATATCTGTGTTGGTTATCCTCTCCTTTGAGAGTTTCTTCTAGGTAGCTCCACTTCTCTGAGGATGTCTCTTATATACACTTGGAGGTGGGATGGTGGCCTAGTGAATGTGTTAAGTTTCAGGGATTTCCTAAAACTTTTGAGTTTCTTTTCTTCCTGGGCTTAATGGAGTTCCCTGCAAGGTGGGATGTTTCATCTCCCTCTAGAACATTCTGTGTCATAAGTAGCTTTCTTGGTTTCCCTTCGTGATAGACTATAATCTTTAAGCCAAGTGAGCCTATTCTTTCCATAAGTTTCTTTGTGCCAGTATTTTATGATATCAGCAGAAAGCACAGTATGACCACAAGCCATGCATATTCTCCAAACAGTTGTTTCAATATGAATAGTCAGGAACACATATTGGGAAAATGGAGTATGTCAAATAATTTTTAAAATAGAGTTTTTGAGTGGCTTGAGGATGAAAGTAGCCAAATTAAACTATTTTTATTAAAATCCTTAATTAAAGTATGTTTATGTCACTTCTTCCTTCTTTGTATTCCCTCCAGTTCCTCTCATAACCTCTGCTTCCAACCCTTGCCAGGTGCTTGAGTGTTGATGGCCTTTGATTATTATTATTTTTTTAATCTACTGAATCTGTTTAGTGCAACTTGTATGTATATGATCTCTGGACTGATCACTTTGTATTGGAAAGCTAATCAGAGAGCCCCTCCCTTTAGAGGTTAATTCTCTCTCTTTTAGCACCCTACAGTTGCCTGAAGTTCTTCTTCTAGGGATGTGACTCCAAAAGACTCCCCATTTCCATGCTAGTATGCCTATTCATATTATCACTATGAAGATTTTGTTTAGGCAGCCATAATATTGAGGTATCAAGGGCATAGACCCTCTATCATTTCTAGGAGACACAACTCCATATCACACTTCCTGGTCCTTTGGCTCTTAAGGTCTTCCTGCCTCTTTCATGATATTTCTTTTTTTTTCTGCCATACTTTTTTTTATTAAGAAAATTTTTTCATTCATTTTACATATGAATCAAAGATCCCCCTCTTCCCTTCTCCTGACACCCCAGGCTCCCCCTCCCAACCCACCTCTCACTCCTCCCTACAAGAAAGCAAGGCCTCCCATGGGGGGGGCACATCCAGTAGAGGCAAGTCCAAGCACTTCCCCCTGCCCCAAGGCTGTACGAGATGTCCCATCATAGGTAGTGGGCTCCAAAAGAATCTATCATGCACTAGGGATAGATTCTGATCCTATCCCCAGGGGCCCCCCAAGCAGATCAAGCTGTATAACTGTCTTGCCATGCAGAGGGCCTAGTCCAGTCCCATGCAGGCTCTGCAGCCATTGATCCAACTTTCATGAGTTCCCACTAGTTTGGTTTGGTCGTCTCTGCATGTTTTCCCATCATGATCCTGATGCACTTGCTCATAGAATCCCTCTTCTCTCTCTTTGACTGGA